GCTCAAAACAACAACAAAACAAGAACCCTCCAAAAGGAAAATAATCAAAACCAGTTTCACCTTCAAGTCTCTGGGAACATGTGAAAGGCCCAACTGCTCTTCGCTGAACAGAGGTGTTTGTCTATGCAGTAAATCATGTTTCAGACTACCAACAGTTCAAAGTCTATTCCAAACAGAATCCAATAAAAGTGAGAGACTCCCGCACCGGTTCCCACCTCCCAGACAAGTTTTGGTGGCAGCCAGTCCCTTAGGAAACAAACCAAACCCAAACCGTACTCTAGCGGGGTTGGAGTTTGCGCTCATTCACCAACGCCGGCATCACGGCGACCTGCAGGCTGCCCTCCCGGCCGGAGAGGGACGGGGAAGGGAAGCAAACATAAACTCGGCTCGCTAAATGCATCTGCAAGACGGGGTTGAAATCCCTCTCCCCTCGAACCGCCAGCCACGCTCCATCGCCGAGGAGGCCACGCTCCTGGTAGGACGGGCAGTTCCCGACAAAGGAGACGACGGCGTTTAGTCCTCCTTTTGTGCTGGTGACAAAACAAGTCCCAACTAAACACAGGAAGCCAAAAAAAAAAAACCAAAACAAAGAAGAATTCTTCCCCTTCCCTGGCAGCCTTCGCCATCGGGCAATCCTAAGAATCCGAGAACCAAACGAGCTCAAGTCTTTCCCACCCACGTGGTGTCGTTTTCCGACAGCGGGGACAGCAGCACTCGATGGGATGAGGAGTGGTCGTCTTGCATCCTATAAAGCCTGGGGCGTTTTCCAGCTGGGATTAAAGCAGATTCCACTGTAATGTGGTATAAAAAGGATGGCAGGAACAGGAAAGTCTTCCTCTCGGGCATTCCTCTGCATTATTTCCACGTGGCGGACTGTGGGATGGACCGTGGGGGGATCATATCCAGGAGATACTCACGCTGGCGGTCTACTGCTGAAGACGACTTGTGCACAGCTAAACTAGGGCTGACAAAGGGTAACGCCCCACCTGAGGGGTAGAAACCAGAGAACAAGTGTCACAGGACGCTCAGGCCAGGAGGGAAATCCACGCGCACTTCACCCCCATGGAAAGGGAGCGGCGGGGGGCACTGCTGGCCAGGAAGGTCAGACCCTCCCGAGGGTGGAAGCTCCCGCAATCATCCCAACAAACAGGAGCAGGGATCCTCAGAACTAAGAGCCTGGGCAGGCCAGAGCTCTCCGCCGTGGAACGGCGTGGGAAGCGGTAAACGAAGCTGTCGGGAGCGGAACCAAAGCGAGATCCATTCAGTGCGGGGCGAGAAAGCAGAGCCCAAAGGAGCTCGTTGCTACGGTGTTTCCTCCTGGGGATCCTCATCACTCCTTGAGGAAACAAACGACTCTCCCCAGCCCAGATCCTCACACACATCCACAACAAGAGGTTTCATTTACAGTTTGCACCTGTTCAAAGCTTTGGTTATTTCCAGTCCCGGGGAAGGCCGGGAGTGTGCCGGGAAGCCCGACCTGGAGCACGCCCAGCTCCTTAGGGGTGTCGCTTGCGGCGGAGAAACCAGGCAAAATGACCGAATCAGAAACCCCCAACGCCAGCGACAGGGCCACGGCACCGGCTGCGCACCGGGCTCTGACACCACGCCAACTCGGCCTCTTTATACCAGCGTCAAGGGGTCGGTTTTACCCGGTGGCGCCCCCCCAACTGCCCCTTTGGGTGAGCGTAAACCGCACCCAAGCGCTGACACCGACGCCAAGAGCAAAGCCTCGGGACCATCAGGCTTTCACGCAGGAAGCGCCAAAGAGAAAGCATCCTTACCCCGAGGACTACGGCTGTTGGACAGAGGGCAGGTAGTAAGTACAAAGAAAGGAAACTTGAGAGAAAGATCTACCTGTATTGATGGGAGTCTTCTTCCAGGCGGCGGCGCTGCCCTTGCCGACAGGTCGCTCAGCATGCTTACCTGGCCTACTCCCAAGTGCTGCTGCAGACGATGCATTCTGCAACTTGGGGGACTGGCTAAATGCATGCAACACGCCTCGCGGGGCTCCGGGCGGGCCTCGAGACATCTGGCTAGAAGTCTGGTGAGAGAGCAAACGGTAAGACGGGCTGAGCAGGTTCCTGGCACGCAACTGCCTTGATCAACCAACCTCCCCGGCCTCAATAACCAGGCGCCTCTGCTACCTCAACCCAAAGCAGCACTGAAGCAGTTTCCGTCTTCCCCCCGCTGCGGGGGGGTTTACAAGGCGTGTGAGACCCAGTCCCTGTCGGGGATGGTCACAGAATCATGGAATCACAGGATGGGTTGGGTTGAAGGGACCTTAAAGCCCCCCCAGCCCCACCCCCTGCATGGGCAGGGACACCTTCCATAGCCCAGGGTGCTCCAAGCCTCATCCAGCCTGGCCTTGGACACTCCCAGAGATGGGGCATCCACAGCTTCTCTGGGCAACCTGTCCCAGTGCTCCCCATCCTCTGTGGAAAGAAGACCTGCACCCTGAAATCTCACCTCCCTGAGAAGCTGCACGAGAAGATCTGACCACTGCTGTGCTACCTTTGTGACATAATTCGCTGTAGATTTATGCCTGAATCTTCGCTTTAAACTCACACACCACTTCCCTGGCTCGTGCGAATTTGACTTTGTCTTCTTCCCCCTTTACCTTGGGTCAATTTACTCTCGTGCGTTGGGCGCTGAAGCATCTTTTCGCCACTTCAAAGATGTTCAGGGGAGAGTTAAGGAGTTGAACACCTGAACAACTACAGTGACTGCGGAGCGACATCATCCCTCGGCTCCAGGGAACCCAAGTTAGGGATCAGGTCCCCACATGACCTGAGGGGCTGGAGCGTGTCTGGGGAAGGGAATGGAGCTGGGGAAGGGTCTGGAGCACAATTCCTGTGGGGAGTGGCTGGGGGGGCTCAGCCTGGAGAAGAGGGGGCTCAGGGAGACCTGATTGCTCCCTACAATCCCTGAAAGGAGGGAGTAGAGGGGGGGTCGGTCTCTTCTCCCAGGCGATGGGACAAGAGGGAACGGACTCTTGTGCCAGGGGAGGGTCAGATGGGATATGAGGGAAATTCCTTCCTGGAAAGGGCTGTCAGGCATTGGAACTGCCCAGGGAGGGGGCAGTCACCATCCCAGGGGGGGTTTAGGGGCTGTGTGGATGTGGTGCTCAGGGACAAGGTTCAGTGGTGGCCTTGGCAGTGCTGGGTTAACGCTTGGACTCCATCATCTCCAAGGTCTTTCCCAACCAAAACCATTTGTGATCCCATGACCAAACAACACGTCACCAGCCCGGTTTAAGCTCACACTCAAACGCTCCGTCGAGCTAAAATGAACCAAGCTCACGTGCCAGCCTCACGGCCGCGTACCAAACACTTGCGCGCGGAGCCGCGGGCCCCTCGTCCCACCGCCCCTGAGGCCTGGCTGATGGCCGTACCTGCTTGAGCGAGTGGTGCTGCACGATCGGGTCGGGCTTGGTCTGTACGGGAGACGCGGTCTGCTGCAGTATCCTTTGCTCGATCTCCTGCTCCTGCTGCAGTGCTTTGACGAAGGCAGCCTTCAGTCGGTTAGTGTGCTCGGCTTTCAAGGCCTTTTTCTGGTTCGATGTCATGCAGGTTTCACACATTATGGTTCCGTTCTTCTCCTCCCTCCAGCGGCAGGTGAAGTCAGTCTTACACTGAGCACACATGTAGGGCTCGCGGGATGATACAGGGAGCGAAACTTTACCTGGAGAACACAACCAGCTTAGCCCAGCTCTGCCTGTGGCTTCGGTGAGCGAACCGACCCGAGAAACCTCCAGAATAACCCCCGACCAACCCCCTACCCTTAATCCTCCTCAGTCTGAAGCCTTCTGCATCGCTAAGCCTACAGAGCCTTCCCTTCTGGGAGTGTGCGCGTACCCAGACGCTTCCGACGCTGTGGGGAGAACGGAGCGTGGGACGGAGGCACAAGCGGCCGACGGGGAGGCACCAGCTCTGGGGAGAACTGGATGCACTTTGGAAGGAAACCTGTAATCACTGCCCGGCCTGTGAGAGGCGATTACTTTTTTAAAGCATTTTAAAGTTTGAAAGTGATTAAAGAAAGTGAATCCTGGACTGGATGGGGTGCCAGTTTAACCCTGCAAAGCCCTGAACTCCTTGCTGCCTGCTCCCGAGAGAGAGCCCAGATGGGAGAAGTTCCCTCCTCGGCCCTGGGGAACTGGCACGCTCTCTCTCACCTTGAGTCTCCAGCAAATTCTGCACCACCTCTTCCAATCCGACCAGGTAAATAAATTCGTTATTGGCTGCACTCGGCAGGAAGTTCATCTCCGGCGCAGGCGGCTTGGGAGGAGGGATCTCCAGCAGCGTCTTCTCCAGCTGCTTCCGCAAGGCCAGCTTGGCGGCGGCTTGCCGGCTGGCCGGGGAGTCGCTGGAGTTGACAATGGAGGCGGCGCTGGTCGTCGTAGCGTTGGCCTGAGCAGAGGTGACGGCTGTACCTTTGATGGAAGTCGGTGAAGCCTGGGAGGAAACGGGAGGCGGGTTAGTGATGGGTGCCAGACGGGCAGGCGCTGGAGGGATGCCGCCCCGAGGGAGGCGAACGGGGGGGCTGCGGGGTGAAAGCTGGCTGTTGGGACCCGGCCCTGCCGCCTCCTCAACCTTATTTCTGCGCGTGACCAAACAGACCACAGCACGTGTCCACGGCGACAGCGCGCCTCCCATCACAAACATCACCCCCATCCAACATCGATTCTTTTCCTAAAGGACTTGACTTGGCTTTACTGCGCATCGTTATGAGGTGGTTTTAGAAATTCGAAAGAAAACAACACGAAGGGGTCCTTTCCCTTATGATTTTGTCAGGGCACTGACAAGTTTTCCTTATCCACAGCCCTCGTGGGGCAGTCTCGGGTGTTAGGCTGCGGCTCCAGGATCTGCTGGTGTTCCCAACAGGAGCACTCTCCCACTTTCAGCTCTGTTTACCAGAACATTCGTTCACGGTTCTTAAGGAAGAGGGAAAAAATACATCCTAATGGACAGCTTCGTGCTGAAACAGCAACCGTGAAATGAGGCACAGCACTCAGTTCCCTGAGAAATGTATGTCCTTCCCATATTCCGTAATGTTCCTCCTTCATTCCTTTGTGCAGGAGGGGAATGTGAATGGAGAAGGGGCTGCAGGGGAAGAACGAGGAGCAGGAATAAGACCTGCGTCAGGCAGGTGGCAGCGGGCCGCACCGACCGGGTCCTGTAACCCCAGGGCACCGACTGCAACCGCTCATCCCAGTTCTCCGAGAGGCGCTCCTCCGAGCGTGACACGAGGGAGAGCAGAGCGCAGGGCACTCACCTGCGGGATGTTCACCAGCAGGCTGGTGTTGGGGACGTTGGCGACGCGGATCAGGCCCTGCTGGATGATTCGCTGTCCCTGGATCTGTACGCTGGGGACTGATGCCCGCGGTGCCAGCAGCAGCGGAGGCGGCCCCGTGCTGGAGTGCTGTCGGATGTTGTGGATTTGCTGGGAAGACACAGAAATGGGCTGATGCGATGGTGCCGTGAGCGATGGGAAGGGTCAGAGGGGGTCGAGTGGGATGGCACGAGACGGTGGAGGTGAGGCAGGGCAGGGAACGCAAGGAAAGCGTGATAATTAGCACCCTGGCAAAGCGGGATGAC